CTTTGCCACGAAGTTTGGAAGATGACTGTGTGGCCTATTGATTGTAAGAGATCCATATTTGTGCCCATTCCAAAGAGAGGTGACCCAACGGAATGGGGAAATCATTGGACAATCTCTTTGATATCCCATATGAGTAAAGTTTTACTAAAGGTAACACAGAAACGGCTGCAAGGCTACATTGACAGAGAACTTACAGAGGTTCAAGCTGGATTCAGAAGAAGCCGTGGAATGAGGGATATCATTGCTGATGTCCGATGGATCTTGGCTGAAAGCAGACAGATGTTTACCTGTGCTTTATTGAATATGCAAAGGCTTTCAAGTGTGTGGATCATGACAAGCTATGGAAAACATTGGCAAGTATGAGTATTCCGGAACACTTAATTGTGCTCATGAGGAATCTGTACCTGGGCCAAGAATCAGTTGTTCAAACAGAACGTGGGAACACTGAATGTTTTAAAATTAAGAAAGGTGTGCGACAGGGTTGTATTCTTTCACCATACTTATCCAACCTGGATGCTAAGCAAATAATCCGATAAGCTGGGTTCTATGAAGAAAAATGTGGCATCAGGATTGCAGGAAGACTCATTAACAACCTGCAATATGCAGATGATACAACCTTGCTTGCTGAAAGTGAAGAGGACCTAAAACATTTACTGATGAAGATCAAAGAGCACAGCCTTCAGTATGGATTACATCTCAATGTAAAGAAAACAAAAATCCTCACCACTGGACCAGTAAACAACATTCTTATCAACGGAGAAAAGATTGAAGTTGTCAAGGACTTCATTCTTCTTGGATCAACTACCAATACACAAGAAAGCAGCAGTCAAGAAATGAAACGACGTATTGCATTTGGCCAATCTGCTGCACAATAATTTTTTAAGTGTTGAAGAGCAAAGATGTCAGCTTGAGGACTAAGGTGCGCCTGACCCAAGCCATGGTATTTTCAATAACCTCATACGCATGTGAAAGCTGGACAGTGAATAATAAGGAAGAACAAAGAAGAATTGATGCATTTGAGTTAGTTATGGTGTTGGAGGAGAATATTGAAAGTTCTATGGGCTGCCAAAAGAACCAATAAATCTGTTTTGAAGAAGTGCAGCCAGAGTGCTCTTTGGAGGCCAAGATGGCCAAACTTCGTCTCTCATACTTCGGACATATTGTCAGGGGGGACCAGTCGCTGAAGAAGGATATCATGTTTGGTAAGGTGGAGGGTCAGAGACAAAGAGGAAGACCCCCAATGAAATGGATTGGCCAAGTGGTAGCATCGAGGACTGTAGTGTGGCAACAATAGTGAGTTTGGCCCAGGATTGGGCAGTGTTTCGTTCTGCTATGCATAAGGTCACTATGAGTCGGTACCAACTTGATGGCATCTAACAACAACAACAACAACAAAAACACATGAATGTCAATATTTTAGTAGTAGACAGGGGAAACCAATATCAACATCTATCTTGAAACACAATGCTGTCTGTGATAGGATAGTATCTACATGACTACAAGGAAGACCAGTTAATACCACTATCATTTAAATTTATGCATCAACTAGTAAAACCATTGATGATGAAATTGAAGAATTCTGCCAACTTCTTCAGTCTGAAATGGACCAAATATGCAATCAAGATGCATTGATAATTGTTGTTGTTGTTGTTAAGTGTCGTCGAGTCAAGTCCGACCCATAGTGGTCCTGTATAGGTTTTCTGAGGAGCAGCTGGTGAGCTTGAACCACCGACCTTGCAGTTCAAACAGCTTTGCAGTCTGGCGCATTAACCCACAGCGCCACACCAGGAATCCACATGGATAATTACTGGTGATTAAATGTGAACTTTGGAAATAAAGAGGAAGGCTCAATAGTTGGGAAATATGGCCTTGGTCATAGAAATGATGCTGAAGATCACATGATAAGTCACTGCAAGAACAATGACTTTATTCATTGTAAGAATTGTGGGATAATGTCAAAAACATCATACAGGAAGAAAGTAAAAGTTCATTAAAAAGACAGGGAAGAAAGAAAAGCCCAAAATGGATGTCAGAAGAGACCCTGAAACTTGCTCTTGAGTATAGAGAAGTGAAAGGCATGAAGGCATAAAGAAATGTGGAGGTCAAAGAGCTGAACAAAATTTTCAAAGGGCAGCTCAAGAAGACGAAGTCAACGCATATATTATATTGAAATTATATAACTTATATTATTATAATGAAATGTGCAAAGAACTGGAATTAGAAAACTAGAATGGAAGAATCTGCTCAACAATTCTCAGGCTGAAAGACTGAAGAAAAAAATTCACTCCTTGACTTGAAATATTGAAAGATTCTATAGGCAAAACATTGAAAGATGAAGAAAGCATCAACAGAAGATGGAAGGAATACACAGAGTCACTGTACCAAAAACAAATGGTCAATGTTCAACCATCTCAAGAGGTAGCATATGATCAAGAACCTATGATACTAAAGGAAGAAATCCAAGCTGCATTGAAGGCTTGAAAAAGAAGTCTCTAGGGGATGATGAAATATGACCTGAAACCTTTCAAGAAACTGATGCAGACCTGGAGGCTCTCTCTCATCTCTGCCAAGGAATTTGGAAGACTGCTACCTGGCCAACTGATTGGAAGAGATCCTTATTTGTGCTCAGTCCAGAAAAGGTGGTCTAAAAACACAGAAATCATCAAACAATATTATTAATATCACATTCAAGTAAAATTTTGCTGAAAATAATTTAAAAACATTTGTAACAGAACATCAGTTGAGAACTGTCAGAAATTCAAGCCAGATTCAAAAGAGGATGTCTAAATAGAGATATCATTGCTGACATCAAATGATACACCAAAAAGATATTTAGATGTTTTAGACTGTTGATTATGACAAGCATGGATAACATTGTGACAAATAGGTATTCTAGAACACTTAACTGTGCTATGAGGTACCTGTATATAGATCAAGAGACAGTTGTTAGAACAAGGGGCTACTGAATGGTATAAAATTAGGAAAGTGTGCACCATGATTGTATTTTTTTAGCATACTTATTCAATCTGTATGCTGAGCAAATAATCTGAGAAGTTGGATTACATGGAGAAGAACCTGCCATCAGGATTGGAGGAATACTTATTAGCAACCTGTGATATGCAGAAGATACAACCTTGCTTGCTTCAGCTTTCAAGTGGAGAGGACTTAAAATACTTACTGATGAAGATCAAAGACTAACATTCAGCCTGAATTGCTCCTCAGTGTAAAGAAAACAAAAATCCTCAGAAATGGACCAGTAAATAACATCATGATAAATGGAGAAAACATAGAAGTTGTCAAATTTCATTTTGTTTAGGATTCATAATCAACACATATGTAAGCAACAGTCAAGAAATCAAAAGACATTGCATTAGGCAAATCTGCTGAACAAGACCTCTTTAAAGTGTTGAAGAGCAAAGATACCAGTTTGAGAACTGAGGTGTTCCTGACCAAAGTAATGGTATTTTCAATTTTCCCATAGGCATGTAAAAATTGGACAGTGAATACGGCAGATTGTAGAAGAATCAATGCATTTGAATTATGGTATTGCAAAATTAAAACTACCATAGACTTCCAGAAGAATAAACAAATCTGTGCTGAAAAAGTACAATCAGAAAGCTCCTTAGAAGCTAGAAGTGCAAGACTTTTTCTTTCATACTTCAGACTTGTTATCAGGAGGGGCCAATACCTGGAGAAGGACTTCATACTTGGTAAAGTGGAATGTCAGCAAAAAGGAGGAAGACTCCAAATGAGATGGCCTGATACAGTGGCAGCAGCAATGGGCTTCAACATAACAAATGTGAGGATGGCGTAGAACCAGGCAGTGTTTCGTTGTCTTGTACATATAAGGTTACTATGAATCAGAACCGATTCTATGGCAACTAGCAACGAAAATCCATTAGCAGTCACTTCCCACATCTTCCCTATCTCTGACAGATTTCCTCATACCAATACTTGTGTATTCTGGTGTGGCGCTGTGGGATAACGTACTGTACTGCAAGGTCGGTGTAACCAAAGACCAGTGTTAAATTAAATTAAATTCACCAGCTGCTCCTCGGAAACCCTGTACAGGGTCGCTATGAGTCAGAACTGACTCGATGACACTTAGCAAAAACTTGTGCCATCTGGGTTCTCAATCTTAAGAACCAGGTCTGACATACTCTTTTTTTTTTTTAAATTGAGGATTGAGTGAAAGTTTACAGGGCAGATCATTATTATTTTTTTTTTGTGTGTGTGTTAAAGCAGCAATTTATTAAAATTCCTTTATATACTGTTTACAGACAAAAACATGTACAAAGCCCTCAACATTCAGGCAATCAGCTCTACTCTCAGAAGTACTTGGTGAGAAGACAAAATTTTCTGCACTCCTTCCAATAAGATGAGTCTGTTTATGCCCCGGAAACTGATGCATTTTTAATGACACCATCTCTCACCAGAAACCATCCCTCTGATGTCTAACACAGCCCCCAAGACCTCTCTGCAGAGAATGAAGAGATGAGCAGAAAACCTTCCCCAAAATGCAGAGCCTCATGACAGAGGTGTAGTGCAAGAGATACAGAAAATGGCAGCTTCTTCTAAGGAGTGTATGAGAACACAGCGGGACAGCTGGGCACCCTTAGCTGCGGAGGGTGGCCAGCCGGGTCTGCATGGCATCCAGGGCTTCATCCCCCTCCTCATCTTCTGAGGCAGCCATTGCTCCTGGAGGTTCAGGATCTGGAAGGGCGTCAGTCACTTTACTGGGTGCTTTGCCCAAGGTCTCTGCTGTAATTTCAAACAGAATCTTGTCAATCTCCATTTCGGCCTCTTCTTCCATTTCTTCCTGATTGTCCATGCTTTCAAATGTGTCCTCTAACATCTCTTCTATGACCCCAGCCTTCATCATCTCTTTGGACAGCTCCCGCATGGTGGCCTGGATTTCTGGGATCTTCACGAGACTCTGCATGGCTTTCATCACTTCTGTGCTCTTCTGCAGGGAGCCAGCCACTCGCAGGACCGCAAGCTGGTTCTTCATCCCCATGAGCGCGGAGTTCATGTGGGCTCGGGATGCGTAGAGCTTGCTCACAGCCTTTCTTGACCTGATCATCTCCTTGGCCAGAACCACACAGACATCCTTCTGGCCCTTCTTGGCAGCATCTTTTACAGATCGTTTTACTTTCTCCTCTTCCCTTTGGATATCTCTTATTTGTCTATCAACCACTCTCATTTCTTTTCTTATCTTCAATGACCATTCATTGACCAGCTCTTTCGGCGGCTTCTCCTGGGTTTTTCCAAACAACCCCATGGCGAACTGAATTCGACTTGCCACTTCCCACTTTCCGTTCCCTACGCCCTGGCAGGTCACGAGCAGCCGCCTTGGCGGGGCGGCCAAGAGGAAGGGCCAGATCATTAGTTTTACATTCAACAAATCATATACTTTGTTTCATTACAATGATTATAATCCCCACCATGTACCATCAGATAACATTTCTCTCTATTCACTTTAGCTCTTTTGTTTTTAAACACTTAGGCATATATAGTAATTTATACCACCAAAGGGCCCATTCTGCAAGTCTGCCTCCTGGCCTCCAGCTCTCAGTCTCTCCGTTTCTATGAATCTGGAGTCCTCAGCTGCTCTATCTCTCCATGTCCCCATCTTTGCCTCCATCTCTGATGTTACTGCTTCTCTGGACAGGGTCCCGCATTGTGCTTGTGATCTTCTCCCTTGATGGTCCTAGGGTCTTCTGTTCTGATGTACCCTTAAATAGAAATTAAATTTTAGTGGAAGGGTTTATCAGAAAGCTAATTTTAGGAATAAGGAAATTTTTAGACATTTTCATTACTCTTAAGTGGTTATGAGGCAAATATTGGGGTTCTGTGAGTGGCTACTACATTCTTTAAAATAGCTTATTGTTGTTGTTGTGAAGTGCCATTGAGTCGATTCAGACCCTGTATAGTGTTTCAAGGAGCAGCTGATGAGCTTGAACCACCGACCTTGCAGTTCAAACGACTTTGCAGTTTGACGCATTAGCTCACAGCACCACACCAGGACTCCTTAAGTTGTTAAGTGCCGTGGAGTTGGTTCCGACCCATAGCAATCTTGAACAGGGTTTCCGAGGCTGTAAATCTTTATGGGAGTGGTAAGCCTCCTCTTTCTCCCACAGAGCAGCTGGTAGTTTCGAACTGCTGACCTTGTGGTTCGTAGCCCGATTCGTAACCACTACGCTACCAGAGCTCCTTTTTAAAATAGCTAGAGCCTTGCAATTCAGAATGTGCTCAGCCAACCAGCAGCATTGACTTTACCTGGGAGTTTGTAAGAAATGTAGTCTCAGGGGCATCCCAGACTAATGGAATCAGAATCTGCATTTTGAGATGTTCAAATGATTCCTAAGCACAGTGATATTCAGCTCCTGAAGAATCTGTGCGAAATCTATATCTGGTCTTGAAATCTGATCACTGAATGGAACCCTTAATGGATATTATTCTTTGTTAAAGTTCAGGAACAGTACCAATGCACTACAGACATGTGTATAATATACCTGAGTATATTAGCTTGGGGACTACAACTAGCTAGTCTTATTAGGGTAAGTATGACTTTCACATCTCTAGGCTAATCAAGCACTGAACTAGAAAATCAGTATTTGGATTATAGGAAATGCGATAAATCAGGGATTAATCCTTAGCTATCAGGGATCATTAGAGGATGAGCCCTGTTTTCTTTCCACCTATTTAGGTTGAAAGGAAATTGCTGGCATATTTTTCAAGGGAATGCAAAACATAAGTATTATATGTAACATGATGCTGTTAAATGCCATTGAATCAGTTATGACCCATAGCAACCCTGTATAGGGTTTCTTAGGAGCAACTGGTGATCTTGAACCACTGACTTTGCAATTCAAACTGACTTTGCAAGCACGTTAACCTACAGAGCCACACCAGGACTCCTTTATGTAATGTTGTTGTTGTTGTTGTTAAGTGCCATCAGGTCAGTTCTGACCCATAGCGACCCTGTACAGGGTTTCCGGGGGTGTAAATCTTTACAGGAGTAGAAAGCCTCATTTTTCTTCCGCGAAGGTAGGGTGGTTTTAATTTTCTTGTTTTTGAGGCTTCTTTTCCAATTGATCTGTTTCTGCCCTGTGCCTTTCCTACTGCCTTTGTGTTGTCAAAGCCATGTTTAGTCCTTGGTTACTTGAGAAAGCAGCCTGAGCCATTCTCCCCAGCCACAATGTATCCAGCCCATGCCCATTATAGATTCCAGAGGCCTCGGGAGCCTAGTGTTTGTGTAAATGCCTGGGGAGCCTGCAGACTGAGCAGGAGTAACAGCTGGTTGCTGACTGCAGATGTAAGCAGTAGAGCAAGGTCTCTTTTGGGTTCATTTCAGTGTGGGATGTTAGAATTTCTCCTTGTCTATACAGGTTTGTAGGGGTGATAGCCCAGGGAACATCAAGCTGCAGAGGATTATGAGTGGTCCATGACTTCTAGCAGGGACAAAAAAACAACAAAAAGGGTCATTACCAGAAACTCGAACCCTAGTCACAGTGACTCGATAGGACAGAATAGAACTGTCCCACAGGCTCTCCAAGGCTGTGATTTTTACAGCAGCAGATGCCACATCTTTCTTCCGAGGAGCAGCTGGTGGGTTCAATTCGCTGACCTTTCCATCAGCAGCTGAGGGCTTTAACTAGTGCGCCACAAAGGACACCTGTGTTGAATTACCTTGCTTTTGAAAGCCTGCGGGGAAATTTATCTCAAAAGAAGAAAGAGGGCTTGGGAGTTATCGATTACCTGGGCATGATCACTACTGTTGTAGTGAAGTCAGTCAGGGAGACAGTTCATGGTTGTGTTCATTCAGAAAGAATGGACCATGCCTAAAAAGTGTTCAGTTTAAGGATGTTTAGCTGTGAGTAAACCAATGTATTTCAAGTGCGTAGATTAATGTCTAGATCTGAGAGTGTGCTGTGTGTCATGTAGACTATAAGATCTTTGAGTACAGTGACCACAACGCATGGCTTTTATTGCTGTTGTTATTTATAGAATTTAGTAAAAAATCAATATATTATTTCAATTTTTTTTAAGCTGAGAAAATAGATTCAAGCTGACAAGTTTCCTACTTTGTTTGGGCACATTAAGTGGAGGATAAATTCTCCAATCAAATGATCTCCAAGAGGTAAGATCATATTTACAAAACTCTTCTCCATTTTGTCTCATTTATTTATGAGTGAATTATTTCACCCAAGGTGTTCTTGTGTTTCTCAGAGAGAAGTTTACTTAGGCAGAACCTTCAACATGTATATTGGAACTAGCTCTATTTCTATTGTATCTTGTATCCATTGTATCTTGAGTATATTTATGTTTTTTTTTTTGTTGTTGTTGTTGTTTATTGCAATTTATGGGTATGAAGGTTGCAAAACTGTTCTAAGATCTAATACCTCTCCTTAAATCAGAGCTGGCAGACTGGGGTGTGGTCTCCATATTGGGGAGTGACATTAGACCAAACCAAGGATATGGGAAAAGAAATGTTTCTGGAAGTGTTGCAAGGAGGAATTTACATCTAAAACCCCAAATTTGGGCTTTGGGAATTAAGAGGAAAGGAGAGGAGGCTTCAATTATTTCCTATTCTTAGTTGGCTTTCAATGGAATCTACATCTCCAGAAATATTCTACATAGACTTTGGGGTATAAACTTTTTTCTCTCTCTAGCTTGAAACTTCTGACCTCTGAGACTTGATAGGAAACCAAATCTCCTTTAGAAAAATGCTGTGTGTGTATGGAGAGGGTAGCTTTTAACTTAACCTAGATTTGTCTTCTCCAAATGTTTGGTCAGTAGGTTCTTCCTCCTTCTTCAGTTGTCTTCTCAGCACTGCAAAAAAGCCAGGCTGCTGATGAGAGGAGATGGGGATAGGACTCTTGTGGTACAATAATGAATAATTTCTATCAGGACTGTGAGGGTTGGAAATGTAAAGGTAGATATTTTGTAGCAAAAGGAGGGGAATGGTTGACTTTGCAGTCCAGGAGTGTAGGTCCCTGGGACCATCAAGGGAGAAGAGAGGAGTGCAGATCCTACCCAGAGAAACAGTGATGCAGAGACGATGACGATGATGACGTGGAGAGATGGAGCGGCTGGGGACTATAGACCCGGAGAGGGATAGGAGCTGTGTGCTGACAACCAAGGGGCAGGCTTGCAGTGCATACCCTTAGGTTGTTTGATGATGCATGGAGGGGATTGTAATCATGGCAATGAGATGATATAAGATAGGATGAATGTAAAGCTAATGTTCTCCCATGTAAACTATCACATAATTCACAATAAAACACAAAAGTCAGGCTAACCATTTATTTACCTTTCCAGGAAAGGCCTAATGCTGGTATTTAGGCTGCTTTGGAGAGTTGGAGGCTCTGATACTATTGGTACTTCTGTGTTTGGCTACTTCTTGCACATCTGAACAAATCCCCTTTCTTACTCTGCCCTCATTCTTCTCAAACTTTCACACTCTAGTAACAGACTGTAGGTATTTTATATGCTGATTGATTCTGTTTGTGTGTAATGAACCGTAAACAAGGGCAAGTTAAAAAGTATAGCTACTATTGGTTACAGTTCACATATGCACAGGTTTATTGTGGTTAAGAATTGCGCTGCTAAATCTCACGGTCAGCAGTTTGAAACTACCAGCTGTTTCACGGGAAAAAGATGAGGCTTTCTGCTCCTGTAAAGATTTGCAGCCTCAGAAACCCTGTTTAGGGTCACTGTGAGTCAGAACCGACTCCACAACACATAACAACAACAACATTCCAAAGAAAATGTGATTAAACATGTCTCTGCGGTCAGTGGATGACAGCAGACAAGTTCTCTCAATAATACACTTCTCTTAGTCTCGTTAAGGTGCCTGCAAAAAAAAAGTTCCGATCAAAACAGTGGATTCCAAGAGGGTCTACTGGGTCAGTTACATTCAAGAAAGAGAGGTCAGCTCAGAAGGTTATGGGGTTATTTTATTTATTTATTTGATTCTGAAGGGGTAATTTTGATTGATTTTTTTTTTTTTCTTGAGACACACAGGATGAACACAGGGACTTCTGAAAAACTTTTAATAAAATTGAAAACCACATTCATGAAAAAAAAGGCAAGATATTTGGGAAGTTGTACCAAGGATTTTTTTCCCCCCATCATGACAATATAGCTGCTCATCCAAGAGTAGAATGACTGTCCTATGAGAATTTTATTGGGAAGCCTTACCTCATCCACCCTGTTGTTGCTTAGTGCTGTTGGGTCAGTTCCTACTCATACTGACCCTGGATAGGGTTTCTGAGGAGCAGCTGGTGGGTTTGAACTGCCAACCTTGTGGTTCACAGTCCATTGCTGATCCTACAGTGCCACACCAGGAGT